ACTATTACCAAAAGAGAACAATTTGGTAATACATTCTAAAGTAATACGGCACTGAAAAGGGCCCATTAAGCATTGCTTAAGTGCACTTGTCCTTTGCCATGCTACTGGTGTTATTCGTTGTTGCTTTGTTATTTGTTTACTAAAATTTTAAAGTTAATGCATTTATATTAAAACAAAAATTAAGTTTATTGTTGTACATGTACGGCATTTATTTTACACAGTATTAAATTTCATGCACATAGATCACAGAAACGTGTATTGAGTAGCATATATCGAAGTTGTATACATGATAAACAATGACAATACAATACGTGAGTACACTTAAGGGTAGATTGTTTTAGAACGGGGCATAGTCACGTGAAAATCATATTCACTGATAGTACAGCACGGGAAAAGCTGTCAGGCAATTGTCAACTAACGGTCTTGTACAATGGAGTGTAGGAAACCCATATTTTACCGTTGTAAAACATTTGTATGTAAATGTGAGCATGAAATTAGTAGATGATGTTGTACATATTGTATTAAGTGTGTAAAATGCTTGGAAAAATGCAATATGTCTTTCCAAGAGCGATTTGAAAAACTGGCCTTTTCGAAACGCACATGTAGTATTTTTGTAGTAACCCATAACTCAACTCATTTAGCAGATTGGTCGGTTTATCAGTCACGTTGGTGCCTCATTAACATGTAAATTCTGACGTCACAGAAAATAGTTTCCTCGACCTGTTGATAGAACATTAGATATGCATGAGAGAACAGTGTAAGAATGGGTCTAAAATTAGATTTGATAAATAACAATGACATGTTTGAAAAAAGAACATGATCATTCTTTCCAATCTCCCTCTCCATTTTGTATGGCAAAAAAACTTCTGACAAAGGTTTAAAAACGAAATCAACAAAATGAGCATGTCAATGTAATTAAGGAAGCTCTAAACACTAACAAAAAGTGCTTTTTGGACTTAGAGAAAAATATATCATATAAAGATATGCATATTGAGACTATTTAGTTCATTTTCAACATAGGTTACCTGCCTTATTTCCGCAGGAAAAATGTTCAAAGACAATGTTCTATTCATGTATAGAAATCACTGTAGTTTACTTACATTGTGAAAACTAATTGAAATAATGAATGCAATTACTTATTCTTGTTCTAACATAATGCTAAGAATATTTTAATCTATTACAAATTTTGCAATAAACTGTAAATAACCATTTTTAAAATCTTACTTCTAAGGGCAGATCACTCTAACTGCATAAAACTACCCTACAAGTAGAACATTTTAGAGTGCAGTGTTTAGAGCTTCCTTAAAGCAGATTTTTATATCAATGCCAGATGACCTAACATGTTCGAACTCAATATCCTAGTTAGCACAAAACATGCTACCTTACAAGTCACGTGACGGAATTTGGTATTCACAAAGTTACCTGAGGTAAGAAATCACGTGGTAGATAATATTCAACATGTCGCAACCTTTGTTAAAACACAGAGAGCGAATGTAAGAAGAAGCAGTTTTTTTTTTCTCTTTTTAACCATGAGCGCATGTTTATCTATTAATCTCCTTTTGACACATTATTATTTATGCAAATATACAACTACTGTTAAACGTAGAACAATAGACAAGCACGTGCTGACTATGCATAAAGTCAGTGAAAAAGTGGGCGTCCTCATTATCGAACGGAGATTAAAGAAATTGTGACGACCCCTGCCTTTGAAAACAAATTCGAACTTCGTAAATATACACACTTTTATCAAACGTAATTACATAAAGTTGTAGATTGGATGTTGACCACTCTTGCAATGAAAAGAAAAATGCTTGTTTTGAAAGTTTATTTTGTCGCAAATTTCGCATGTCCTTAAGTGCAGTCATCCTTTCTTGCAAACTTGCCATTTCTTATAGAAATACACCTACAGGAAAAAATTAGAAAAAGTAAGATTTAAAGAAAAAGGTTTTCATAAGAAAAGTCAACATTACTGAATGTAATGATTTAATGAAGTACACTATGAAAGTATATAAATATACATTTTACACTCGTATTAGTATATGGTGCTAAAGATGAAAAAAACACTGTTCACTAGATGACAATAGATATTGTAGACATTTAATTAAAATCAACCAGGGCAGGTTATACATCTTCATTTTGAGACAATTATTTGCAATATGAGAGATATAATGTATGTTCAAGCATTTGGCTTTTATAGTTTTAATGACGTTATTTTGATGTTACAAAATCAGCCCCAATTTTGTGCGCAATGTCTCGAAGATTGTGCCATACATTGAGTACGATATTAAAACGATTTTGACAATTTGTCAGATTGAATAAAAAGTAAAATACAGGTGTTGATTGACTGTATGTTTTCACTCATATAGAGACGTCACCATATACCGGTGAAGGGCTCCAAATTTTAGACCTTAACTCGCCACTCAGGGCCATGGAGCAGTGAGGGATCTCAGTTATTAAAGTCTCATCCCAAAACCCCACTACTTTCACTTCAAAGTGCCGAGCGCATGGCGAGGGAACAGTTGCTACCTATTTTATCGACTTAGGTCAGTCGCGGCCGTGATTCGAACACTCGACCTTCCGATGACGGAGCGAGCGCTCTGCCGACTGAGCTACCGTGACGGTCAAAGACGGGTGTTGAAATCTCGTATAAAGGGATTGAGGAACAATGCGACAAATATATATCCTTCTGTCTTTAAATAATTCAAAAGTGAAAAAGAAGAATTAGAATACATATACATGTACTGGTTCAAGCTGACAACAGGTTACACAATCGCTTTTGTTTGTGAGGTTCATTATTACAATTGCAGTTTAGAAGAACTTGGATTTAATTCTGAAGTCTTAAAATCATATGTCAGTTTTAAATATCTTTAATATTACAAAAAACAAAATCGAATTTGAGATACCATACCTATACTAAACTTCATGAAAAATTCTTAGAAAAAGAGATACATAGCAAATTTTAGTAAATGTTCTACAAGGCCTCTTTCTTTACTCCTCACGAAAATATTAACAGCATAGACAGAGAAACATAGAAGTGCTGTAGAACAGCATATTTGAGAAGTAATGTTAGTCAAATAATGGATAATTAAAAACTTTCAGAAAATTTGAAAGGAATAAAAATATCAAAATCATTAGCATGAAATGGCACGACTTTTCAAAACTTTATACGACCATTTCCCATGATAAAACAGACTCTATGACATCATAGACAACTGCTTCTTCAATGAAAATGGAGTCTGTAAATTTGCATAATTGGTTTTCTGCAGACTTTTTTGTAAAAATCAGTCTGATTCTACGCACAAGTCTACGAAGTTTATATTAAAAGGATGCTTTAGTTTATCATTGACAAAACATATGTGGTTTTCGGAGACCAGGCCTCAAGGCCATAAACTGAAAACAGACTTAAGTCAAAATTTCAACCCAATATAACTTTTGAAATAATTTTGATAATGAAACGAAATTATATATTTGAATTTAAATGTTTAATTTTCGACTTAAGTCTATTCTCAGTTTATGGTCTGGAGGCCAAGTCCTCCGACAATCTGTTGGTAATCCCATAGATCTAATTGCGCCTTGTTGTTAGAAGATTGTTTTGTATTCATTTAAAAGTAAACAAACAAGACAAAAAAAGAACTTCTACATGAAAGAAATCTCTGTGACCTTCAATTTGACATTTAGATATATCAACGACATTTTTCTTTTACCAATACTCATTTTCATTCATCGTTGATTTTAGATATCCCACGCATATTCATTCGTAATATATTTGTTTGTTTGTTTGATTATTGTTTAACGTCCCTCTCAAGAATTTTTCACTCATATGGAGACGCCACCACTTGCTGGTGGAGAGCTGCAAATTTTTGACCTATCCTCGGCACTCAGGGCCATTGATCAGTGAGGGATCTTTTCGTGCCAACACCTACTGCGACACGGGACCTTAGTTTATACGATCTCATCCGAAAGATCGGTCTCCACGTCCCACAGTGGGATTCGAACCCGCGACGTAAGGATAAACTCCTTACGTCGCGACTCTTGAGCAGACGCTCTAACCACTGCGCCACGCGGGCGACCATTCGTAATATAAAACACATATAAAACTCAACATTATCAACGTAATAACGCGGTTATCACTTAAGCCAAAGTCCTATTCTTTAATGAAAAATCTGCATAATTTATTGAATCATACCTCTACATATAGTTCTGAATTGCCTTTGCATCAATGCATACCCTATAAGCCATCAATATTTTTTTTTTCAATTTTTGCGAGTAGTACAAAAAATGCGGTATTTTAATTTTCTTTCCTCATCGGTGCAAAGCTTATCTGATTCCAACAGCATTGGCAATGATTGACACTAATGTCATCAACTGATCAAATATATTTGTGGTAAATTGAATAAATGACCTTTCTCACAAAACTAAGTCGTTCTGTCTTTTAATTGCAAATGAACTCAGACTTATTGGGGAACAAAACTGGTTGTTACATGTTGACAAGTAAACATTATCTTATTACAGAGAAACATGGAATGAATTTGAGGTTATTTATTAATGGAAAAATTTGGGTGACAAAAAATTATCTTCCTGTTGTACCAAACCAATACTTAAAAAATATTTTAATAATTGGTCTGTCGACATTTATGTTGTAATAAATGTATCATCAACGTTGTGGATAGTCTACCTTTTATTGTTCCTTGCTTCTGTAAAATTAGATAGGACTTATAGTTGACCCAGAGTTTTTTCTCCTTTATTTAATTAAATTACATTTTTATCCCGCAAATTTGTAAAATTACATAGCATACAACTTTGGAATATTCCAACTTTTATTGTTCCCTGTTTCTGAAAAATTAGACGTCTTTCCCCTGAAGCAGTTTCTGCCTTCTTATGTTTCAGTTCGTCCTTCTTTGGAATGTAAGGACATTCGTGAAAATGGTCACACTAATTCAGGTGTGTACGAAATTTATCCCTTTGAGACCATACGCCGTCCTGTCAGAGTGTACTGCGAAATGGAGACAATGGACGGAGGATGGACGGTAGGAAATCAATATTTACATGTGTTTCGAGAATACATTTATTTTGAATACCAGATTTACTGAGGATACATGCACTATTTTGAAAAGTCGATTAAAGCTGATGTAATTTCACACATATATCAACTAACTCGTACGTATGGTTGTTAATACCATTTTTTTTAACCCAGCTCTATCAACCAGTAATGCATTATCAAATCTTCCGTCTTATCTGCTTTTGACACAGTCCCTCTACTTCAATGTTTAAATTTGTACATTTCTCCACATTTCTATTATGAGCATAAAATGAAAACAAGAAAGTATGAAGAGTACCTCAATGATTCCTTCAACATTTGGTCTGAATAAGTAGGTCTAGCGGTTAGTTGTTTTTGAGAGATATTACTGGAAAACAGTCTTTTTCATAATGCATCCTTACAAGATATTATGAGAACGTGACCTACCAAACACTCTTATTCCAAAACTGCATGAAAATCCTGAGCAGGCCTATCAATTGTTTGTCTTTTTTTTTCTTCGAAGATTACAACTTCGAGACGCTAAGATTGTATGAAAAAACCTTTCCGTAAGTCGTCTTGTTAAGTAAGTTATTCTATGGAATTTGCAAGACTGTAATAGTCAAAAGGAAAGAAGAAATGCTTGGATTGTTGAATACTGCTTAAAATTATATCAATGAAATATATGGAGATAACGAACAGTATTCAAGCTCAAAAGTCCATTATACAATACAAAATAGGAGCAGAGCAAACACGGACCTCCAAACATCAGAGGTGGGATCAGGTGCCATGGAGGAGTGAGCATCCCCTGCCGACCGGTCACACCCGCCGTGTGCTCCTTGTCATAATCGGGAAATAACGGAAAAATCCGTCGACAATTCAGTGTGTAAATAATGGCCTAACAATTAGTATGAAAAACGTCAGTCAGCATTTGACTCAATGATAAATTGTATTTGCTGACAAGGTCATTGTATCGACCATAGCACTTACGAAATGATGACTTTAAACGAGACAGCTGATATTCTTGTTTCATCAACTTATTTGTCAATAATTTACCTCGTTTTAGAAATTGTACATACGTAGAGCATGCTCTTGCGTATCGAATCAACTGAGAGATATATACCCCGTATGCAGGCGATGAAGGTATATTGCTGCATAAGTAAGGGAAGTTGACGATTGAAAAGTTAAAGTCATCACGTTTATCATAAAGCTTGGTTGTTAGATTACCATTAACGTCTTTTTCAAGTAAAATATCCAAATATGAAACAGATGTGTCAGACTCTGTGGTATCTTTTATCTCAAGTTCACCAGGATATATCGTATCGACATAAGAATGAAAATAGCCATTGTTAATTGACAATACGTCGTCGATATATCTAAATGTCGAGTTGAACGCCACAGCAAGTGTTTTCTTCTTTTCACGTACAAGATTTTGGACAAATTCTGCTTCATATGAATACAAAAAAAGGTCTGCTAATAACGGGGCGCAATTGGTACCCATAGGTATTCCAATAGATTGTTGGAAGACCTGGTCTTCAAAAACCACATAGATATTGTCAATCAGAAACTCAAGCATCTTTTTAATGTCAACTTCAGAGTACTTGTGTGTACAATCAGAATGTTTTTTAACAAAATAATTTTGCAAATGACCAATGACAAGGTAAGTATATTTACGAGTTCCATTTTTATTGAAAAAGCAGCTGTCAATGATATCAAAAAGCCTGGACTTTAATTTATCGCGGGGAATGGTTGTGTATAAAGTTGAAAAGTCGTAAGTTTTTAAGCTGTTGATTTTGGTAAAATCTTGTGATTTCAAATTTTCCAAAAGTTCCTTGGAATTTTTAAGTATCCACATCTGATTTACACCACTTCTCGAATATATTGTTGCACAGTACTCTTGAAGTTTCTCCTTCACCACTGTTAATATCTTAGTGAGGAGTAAAGATAGAGGCTTGGTTGAACATTTACTGAAACCCGCTATGTATCTTTGTTTGTAAGGATTTTTATGAAGTTTCGGAATCCAATATAAATATGGTAATTCGAATTCATTTTGGTTGTTTGGAATATTAAAAATATTCAAAACTGACATATGATTTTGAAGAATTTCTTCCTTTGAAAGGGAACTATGAGTATAAGTTGGATTACCACTTGTAGAATTAAATCCAAATTCCTCTAAAATACATTTAATATAATGAGCCTTACAAACAAAGACAATGTTGTTACCTGCTTTGTCAGCAGGGACCAGTACGTACTAATCATGTAATCTATCTAATTCTTTTTTCACTTCTGGATTATTGAATACAGAAGGATAGATGGTTCTCATATTGCCTCTCAATTTTTTAATGCGCGATTTTAACATACATCTGATACATTTAATCCATTCTGACAAAGTGTCAAGGTCTTCTTTTCCATGTCTGGCCCATCGCCTGGCGTAGTCCTCTACAGAATCCATGATATTGATGAAATTCTTACGCCAGTTGAAGGATTTGGGTTCTCTAAATTTAGGACCTTTTAAAATTAGTGATCTAAGGTCCTCATTATTAACTATATTTACGTCACCAGTAATAACGTGTCCAGCAGGACTATAGTTATAGGGCGAAGAAGAACATGAACACGATGGAGGATTATGTTTCAGATATTCGATATCCAGGCCCTGTAAAGTTTTCTTGTAATTAAAAAGTTTGGAAGCAATAGTCGATGTATAATTGTAGGGAATACAAAGTGTAGTCTTTAACTTGAAATATGGTGGAATACAAGACTGGACCCTTTTGTGATTAAGAATATTACTTATATTAACCGCGTCAATTCCTTTGTTGGCATATTGAAGTTTAGGGAAAAAACGGATTGTTCTAGCTGCATTTTCTTCAATAAAACACGGGGGTTTAAAAAGCCTATGATTGGCAATATCCATAACTACAGATCCGAGCCTATATTCTGGTGTCGAGGAATCAAAAAATGGACTTTCCTTGACCTTTTCAAGAAGACTATTTAAAAGTTTCAAAGCGACAGGGTAAAGTTTGGTGCGAATATGACTATATGAATATATCAATGTGACCCGGGTCTTGACCAACAGCAACGTTAAAAGTGGTATGTGCATACCGTGTCAGCAAAGAAAAATTGACTAAAAGTGTTAAATAAAGCATTGTCAGTTGAGTAAAACATTCCATTAACCACGTATGCAAATGTTCCTTACAATAAAAATGCAATAAATGTGTATCTTTTAAAGGCAATCCAAAAACGGGTAGATGGATCCCTGGACTTTGACAGGAATTGGGCAGATTACAAGGATGGTTTTGGTTCACCGGAACTGGATTTCTGGATCGGTAAAATTATTCTCATTAAAAGTTCTGCTTTGATTGGCCCCAATCCAAATGATATTTTTACCGGCATATTCAATATGGAGTGAATCCAGGATGTGATTTGAAAACCTGTTTAATCTGTGTTAAACTATTATCATTTTGGTTGGATAGTTCACTCTGTGTTTCTAAATGAGTAGACAGATATAGTCGGAGAGACAATAAGGATAGAGAGAGAATGGGAAAAAGTATTTTACGTTATGTACAAGGCCATGGTGGACTAGTTTTTCATAATGTCAGCAATAAACCGACTATGAGTTCTAGATGAAATATATTAAGATATTAATCTTAAGGGTATTTAATTTTTTGGAAACCAATAAATATTTTATTTATTCAGTGATTTGAAATATACTATACTGCAGGAAATGAAGTAATTCACCAGCTTACAAAGGGACACAAGTCTTCTCTCTATGTTTCCGTTACATCGGTGAACCTTGGCAAACTGTACGAGTTGTACGAGGAATTCTCTGTGTCCAGCGAAGCGGAGAAGTATCAACTCTTTCTGGGTGGGAATGCCACTGGAACCTTAGGTACGTACATGTAACTAATGAAATGTTTAGGTCAAAGCCAACAAAAAAAAAAACAGAGAGAGAGAGAGAGCGAATGCGATTACTACCATGCACTGGAAGTCCTACGGAAACCATTCTATTACATGAACACATACACACCATTACAATTATTTTTCATATACATGTATTTTCCAAATATAACAGGTTACATAAACACAATGCATAGGAAATCCCTTGGAAACTATTTTATTACATGTACATAAACACTTCACAACAGATTGTGACCCATACAATAATATATCGATTCTACAGTAAAACACTCTTATAGCGAACATACTACAAGCAACAATGAATCGACGCCAATAGCAAAGTGAGTTTCCTTCCCATTGATATAAAAAAAACTATTATGAACTTAACGTATATAACGAATTGCGTTTGTAATAAAGCTATTGTGTTCGGTGCGAGGTACTCCGCTTTTCACGTGTTGCACTGTGCATGTATCCTATCTAAAGTTTCCGAACATTTCCTTATATTCTCCATATATTAAAGGTAATATCAACGCAATGTAGATTGATTGTATGTTGTTTAACGTCCCATTCGAGAATTTTTCTCTCATATAGAGACGTCGCCATATACCGGTGAAAGGCTTCAAATTTTGACCTTTACTTGGCACTCAGGGCCATTGAGAAGTGAGGGATCTTTATCGTGCCAACGCCGGCCGTGACACGGGGCCTCGGTTTTTAAGGTCTCATCCGAAGGACCCTCAACTTTCACTTCAAAGTGTCGAGCGCTTGGCGAAGGAACAGTTGCTACCCATTTTTTAGCTCTACTGGTCAGAGACCAGAAGAGCTTATGCGATAGTAAGGTGTCCGTCGTCCGTCCGTCTGTCTGTCTGTCTGTCTGTCTGTCCGTCTGTCTGTAAACAATTTATCAAAACGCTACTCCTCCTACAGTTTTGGTCCGATTTCAATATAACTTGGCACACAAGTAGACTACACTAAGATACATAATTTAGTGCATTGGTTTTTGATTTCGATGGACGGTGTTGCCATGGTTACTAAAAATAGAAATTTCTGTGAAATTCCTTTAAAACGCTACTCCTCCTACAGTTTTGGTCCGATTTCAATATAACTTGGCACACAAGTAAACTACACTAAGATACACAATTTAGTGCATCGGTTTTTGATTTCGATGGACGGTGTTGCCATGGTTACTAAAAATAGAAATTTCTGTGAAATTCCTTTAAAACCCTACTCCCCCTACAGTTTTGGTCCGATTTCAATATAACTTGGCACACAAGTAGACTACACTAAGATACATAATTTAGTGCATCGGTTTTTGATTTCGATGGACGGTGTTGCCATGGTTACTAAAAATAGAAATTTCTGTGAAATTCATTTAAAACGCTACTCCTCCTACAGTTTTGGTACGATTTCAATATAACTTGGCACACAAGTAGACTACACTAAGATACATAATTTAGTGCATCGGTTTTTGATTTCGATGGACGGTGTTGCCATGGTTACTAAAAATAGAAATTTCTGTGAAATTCCTTTAAAACGCTACTCCTCCTACAGTTTTGGTACGATTTCAATATAACTTGGCACACAAGTAGACTACACTAAGATACATAATTTAGTGCATCGGTTTTTGATTTCGATGGACGGTGTTGCCATGGTTACTAAAAATAGAAATTTCTGTGAAATTCCTTTAAAACGCTACTCCTCCTACAGTTTTGGTCCGATTTCAGTATAACTTGGCACACAAGTAGACTACACTAAGATACATAATTTAGTGCATCGGTTTTTGATTTCGATGGACGGTGTTGCCATGGTTACTAAAAATAGAAATTTCTGTGAAATTTCTTTAAAACGCTACTCCCCCTACAGTTTTGGTCCGATTTCAATATAACTTGGCACACAAGTAGACTACACTAAGATACACAATTTAGTGCATCGGTTTTTGATTTCGATGGACGGTGTTGCCATGGTTACTAAAAATAGAAATTTCTGTGAAATTCCTTTAAAACCCTACTCCCCCTACAGTTTTGGTCCGATTTCAATATAACTTGGCACACAAGTAGACTACACTAAGATACATAATTTAGTGCATCGGTTTTTGATTTCGATGGACGGTGTTGCCATGGTTACTAAAAATAGAAATTTCTGTGAAATTCATTTAAAACGCTACTCCTCCTACAGTTTTGGTACGATTTCAATATAACTTGGCACACAAGTAGACTACACTAAGATACATAATTTAGTGCATCGGTTTTTGATTTCGATGGACGGTGTTGCCATGGTTACTAAAAATAGAAATTTCTGTGAAATTCCTTTAAAACGCTACTCCTCCTACAGTTTTGGTACGATTTCAATATAACTTGGCACACAAGTAGACTACACTAAGATACATAATTTAGTGCATCGGTTTTTGATTTCGATGGACGGTGTTGCCATGGTTACTAAAAATAGAAATTTCTGTGAAATTCCTTTAAAACGCTACTCCTCCTACAGTTTTGGTCCGATTTCAGTATAACTTGGCACACAAGTAGACTACACTAAGATACATAATTTAGTGCATCGGTTTTTGATTTCGATGGACGGTGTTGCCATGGTTACTAAAAATAGAAATTTCTGTGAAATTTCTTTAAAACGCTACTCCCCCTACAGTTTTGGTCCGATTTCAATATAACTTGGCACACAAGTAGACTACACTAAGATACACAATTTAGTGCATCGGTTTTTGATTTCGATGGACGGTGTTGCCATGGTTACTAAAAATAGAAATTTCTGTGAAATTCCTTTAAAACCCTACTCCCCCTACAGTTTTGGTCCGATTTCAATATAACTTGGCACACAAGTAGACTACACTAAGATACATAATTTAGTGCATCGGTTTTTGATTTCGATGGACGGTGTTGCCATGGTTACTAAAAATAGAAATTTCTGTGAAATTTCTTTAAAACGCTACTCCTGCTACAGTTTTAGTCTGCTTCTAATATAATTAGGCATACAGGAAGACTATACTAAGATACATAATTTATTGCATTGGTTTTTGAATTCGATGAACAGTGTTGCCATGGTTACTTAAAATAGAAATTTTTGTGAAATTCCCATTAAACGTTACTCCTCCTACAATTTTGGTCTGATTTCAATCTAATTTGGCACACAGTTAGAATACACTACGATACATAATATGTATTTCTGTTTTTTTTTATTTGGGTGAATGGTGTTGTCATGGTTACTAAAAATAGAAATTTCCGTGAAATACTTTCAAAAGGCTACTACTCCTAGTTTTCATTTGATTTCAGTATAACTTGTCACAAAAGTAGACTACATTAAGATACATAATTCTATTTATTGTTGCATGTTGCAATGTTTCAAATCCAAGTGCTACTTTTCTTTTGTTATACAAACAGACCAGTAGAGCTACAGTCTCATCAGAGACTTCTGGTTATCGACTTAGGCCAGTCGCGGCTGAGATTCGAGCCCCCGATCACGGAGCGAGCGCTCTACCGACTGAGCTACCATGAACGGTCTCAACGAAATGTAGAGGGAATCATTCTATTGCATAATACAAAATACAAATAGTTCAACACAATTGTGACCCAAACATTTATAGTTTTATTCTACAGATTTAAATTTCTTTCCATAATCATGTATTCATGCATGCAATTTGACATTTAGTTAGAATAATCTAACTGTGTCTGGGGACAAGCCCTCATTACAGTTGGAATACGTCCCAAATACCTGCAATGTAGCAAATCGGAGTGGATCCACTCCGAAATTATTTTGAATAATACAAAAGGAGTTGCGCTGAAAATAACTACCAAATTAATCATAACAGACCTTTTTGAGATGGTATATGTCTTTTAACCTAAAAAATAATCCATATAAATACAAAAATCCAACTCAATTTCTAGAAACGTTTTTTCCTCGCTTCAAATTTAACGCCATGTTGACATTCGGGACTCTCTGGATTGTTCATAGAAAATGCAACATTGCCAATACACGGAACGAATTCTATCTTTAAACCGGGTCCTTAGGACAATATCATTTTAACGATAAAACGTTCTATCTATTTGACATAATAATTAGTTATATTGAAGGCGTTTTATCAGTTAGCAGTATCTAATTTGATTCATATGTCGGTTCAATATATTCCATTGAACTCGAAATAAAAAAGAGTTAACGATATATGTTTCATATTTGGATGTTTTACTGACTCTAGAAAACAATTGCTAAGTAATAAGTAAACTTAATAGCAAACAAGATAACTGAGCTTTTCATTCGTCAATTTCCATTATTAATGTAGTAACATTCAAACATTACCTGTATATGACGTTAAGGTCTCATTAATGATTCCATACGCATGAGCATGCTCTGAGTACGATCATTAAACCGAGCAAGCTACCTTTACTGAGGCGTAAGTTGATGTCACAAGGATTTCAACAACCCCATTTCATGTCAGCTTATCGCAAATTCTATGGTCGTTATATTGACATTGTTTGTAAATATATCTTATCGTTGGATCGTTTTTTTTCTGACAAATTTTCAAATCATTTTATATAACTTTTGTACTGGAATTGACTGCGGAGTTCTCCGTTTGCTTGATAAATATATAGGGCTCACGGCGATGGTGACCTGTCAACAGGGGATGCTTACTCCTCCTTGGCACTTCATCCCACCTCTCGTGTTTCCAGGGGTCAATGTTTCTGCCCTTCGACCATTAAATTTGTATATGGGATACGATGTGCTGCAAACTACTGATAAACATTGTCTGAAAACGTGTGCATAGACATTGGGTGGCACGTATGTCGACAACTCTGATAAATTCTTTGATTTTCATGTAACAACAGCTGCTTGTTTATATGAATGGGCCTGAAAATTATTTGCCTATATGTTCTCATTGTGTCTAGCTTTGAATCTTTAAAATCTTGATTTGAAACCTTATTGTCTCTTTGACAGTTGCAACGCTTTCTTCTAATGTTTTTTTTTATGCCCCCCCCCCCCCCCGTATTGAAGATTCGGGGGTATATAGTTTTTGCCCTGTCCGTCCGTCTATCTGACTTCTGTTTGTCCGCATAAACTAACATTGCCCATAACTTTTGATTGGTTGGAGCCATGGCTTTCATATTTCATATGTGTATTCCTGTGACAAGACCTTTCTTTGGATACCACCATATTTGACCTTCGAGTTTGACCTACTTTTGAAAAAGTTTCCAAACTTTAACCTTGGCTATAACTTTTGAACGATTGGTGCTGGGGATTTCATTCTTCACTTGTGTATTCCTTGTGACAAGACCTTTCTTTGAGTACCACCATATTTGACCTTGACATTGGAGTTTGGTCTACCTTTGAAAAACTTTAACATTGGCCATGACTTTTGAAGGGTTAGTGCTAAGACTTTCATATTTAGCATATGTAATCCTTGTGACAAGACCTTCCTTTGGATACCAACAACCTTGACCTTGGAGTTTGACATACTTTTGTACAACGTTAACATTGGCCATAACTTTTGAACGGCTGGTGCTAGGGATTTCATACTTCACATATGTAATTCATGTGACAAGACCATCCTTTGGATACCAACAGCTTTGACCCTTTGACCTTGGAGTTTGACTTACTTTTGGAAAACTTTAACGTTGCCATAACTTTTGAACCGTTGGTGCTTGGGACTTTCATACTTCACATATATAATCCTTGTGACAAGGCCTTCCTTTGGATACCAACAACTTTGACCTTGGACTTTGACCTACTTTTCTTAAACTTTAACCTTTTATATATCTATTCCATGGTTGCTGCTAGGGCTTTCATATTTCACAGGTATATTCCTCGAGACAAGACCTTATTCTGGGTACCAACATATTTGATTTGCATTTGAGAAAGTTTAACCTTTGCTATAAGTTGCCCTACGGGGGCATCAGTGTTTCACAAACATATCTTGTTTTGTTTGCTTTATTTTGTTTTTTCAACATCCCTTTCGAGAAATTTGCACCCATATTGAGACGCCACCACTTGCTGAAAATTTTTGCTGAAAGGGCTGAAAATTTTAGGCCTATACTCGTCCCTCAGGGCCATTGAGATATGAGGGTTCTTTTTTGTGCCAACACCTACTGCGACACGGGATCTCGGTTAATACGGCCTCATCCGAAAGACCGGTCTCCACGTCCCACAGTGGGATTAGGGAGCAGCGTAAGGATCAACCTCTTTCCTTTGAGCTTAGAAATCGAGTGAAAATCATTGAAAATTAATTAAAAGAAAGATTAGTTGTGTTACAAACACTGAAACTTTGCTTGTTTCAAACCAATTAGTCATATTATATGCTTGTTATTTACTTAGGAATACGACTAACAAAGCAGCAAGAAACGTTTATCATATTGCCCCATGTAATACGTAAAAACAATATCTTGAACTACAATCTGCTCCTTTGGGTATGTAAAACTTCTATTGTCTTTCATTCGCAATATGACAGGATGTTTAAAACTTGGGATACTGACTATGTTCTGGATTGTATGTAGTATCATTCTGTAGGAGACTAGATGCTTAAGGATACTATGTTACGAATTGTGTGTAGTACCGTTTTCTTTCCTTCTATAGGAGACCAGATGTTAAACACAGGTAGAAGTGACAATGATCTGTCTGGTATGTACTTCAGTACCCCGGACAGAGATAATGATCAGAATCAGGAAAACTGTGCCTCTCACAATAAAGGAGGTTGGTGGTTTAACTACTGCCATAAAGCGTACCTCAACGGACCCTGGTCTCCGGACCGCTGGATTTACCCTTGGAAACCCCCTATCACGTACGGGAAATACGTGAACAAGACATTCATGATGATCAGGCGTCATCAGGTAATAATTAATAGTAGACATATTTTCTTCTTTCTAATTTATTTTTAGATTAAGTTTGTGTTCGTATTTCTGAATGCAATTTAATTCATTTTTTATGCTCAATAGATGTCGATCAGATAAAACCATGGATTTACGGTTCAGCAGAGGTTCACAACAATGTCGCTCTTCGCCTTATTCATTTTAATAAATTGAAATGAACATATGATTTTATGTGAAATCATTCACTTTTTCCCATGTGTGCAATTTCATTCAATTTGAACAGATGAAACTAGGGATATATAATTTTAAAACAACTGTATTAATTTGTCATCAGGGAGCATCTTATCAACGGAACACTGAGAACATAGAGTCAAGAAAAGTTCTCATAAACGTCCCACCACATCATTTAACACACACTCTATGACGCCTAGACAGTTATTTAAAAAGGCCCCTATATTATTATTTATATAACATATTACTTTACATTTAATTCCCTTATAATTCGAATATCAAAATAGTCCGTCATTGTCTTTATTTTTTTTTTAGATGCGTAGTTTTGATTTCACAAATTGTGCAACATTGAAGCGCACATTCATTTCCATGACGTTGCTATCGGTTTTGGTCAGATCTTTATGAGAATCCTATTTCCTTGCAGACCGTTTATCGTCCAATACAAAGTTTCTTTAACAAACAAGAGTTCCAAGGGCTTTAACGGTATAATGTAACACTGTATATGATCCATAGATTGAATATAGAATAAAATAAAATAAGCTGATAAATGAAGCTATGCTGCCCAAAAGCCCAAAAGCAAGAGAAAAAGGATGATCCAGGATCAGCAAAATAAATAACGTAGTGTAACAGTAACAAATATTAAAGTTTATCTATTCACTTTGCTGTACCTGCCCCCATTTTTCACTATCCCCACGTGGACTAAACAAACAAGAGTTTTCTAGCACTATTAGTAATTCCATTGCATTCCTCCTCACACTGGTCTGTTTTAGTCATTGTAGAACATTTAATGTACAAAGATAAGGTATTTTTGTCTCGTTATTTATCTATTATTTTAAAGTCTACCTGACCATTTAAAACAATGAAAGTATTTTTCGTATTAAATATAAAAATTCTTGTATAATTTTGTTATACAAGTGGCCTTTCAAAAACATTACTTAGAGCGATTTAGTATCATAGGTGAAAAGCAAAGGGGAATAACTTCTTTCAGTAGAATATCAATAAATAGACCATATGGTGCAGAATTTCAAAACTTTTGTAAAAAGACCCTTGCTTATTTCAAATTTATATACTGTTTTCCTCCTAGATGCCAAGGAGCAGAGAAGATTATCAAGAAAATAATGCATTTTCACTTTGGATTCAACGGAGCCCCAACGTAACTCAAACAATTCTTAATTTCTTAAAGGGACACCCTTCCTTACATGTATCATAGCCAAACACTTAGTGTGTTTGCTTAATACCTTTAGGCAGAACAAAAATAAAAAAAAAAATGCATTTTTACTTTATATTCAAAAGAGCCTCACCCTCTCACGAAATCCCCTGTCTCAGGAGTTATGAATTTCAACCTTTTAGAAAAGACATCCTTGTTTATCATAACCATGCAGTTGCTTGCGTGGCGCAGTGGTTAGAGCGTCTGCTCTAGAGTCGCGGAGTAAGGAGTTGATCCTTACGTCGCGGGTTCGAATCCCACTGTGGGACGTGGAGACCGGTCCTTCGGATGAGACCGTATAAACCGAGGTCCCGTGTCGCAGTAGGTGCTGGCACGAAAAAGATCCCTCACTGCTCAATGGCCTTAAGTGCCGAGTATAGGACAAAATTTGGAGCTCTCCACCGGCAAGTGGTGGCGTCTCCATATGGGTGAAAAATTCTCGAGAGGGACGTTAAACAACATACAAACAAACAATCTATATTCCTTTAATGATCAATATTTTGTAAAACATTATTAAAGCAAAATTGTTCGTCTTAACAATTTATTTATATCATTATATTTGAACGAAAATCTCAATCAAATTGTTATCTCATCTTATCAAAAATCGGACGGAAGACCCACTCGTTGCTCGAAACGAGATCTCATCTAGTTATTATTATTTTTATTCTTTTTTCTTCTTACAAATTTTGTGCAGACGATTTCTCGGAGATGGCTGGATCAATTTCATTCAAATTTTCATGGTAGATGCGTTGACATCTGAAGTTAATTCCGGCAATTCCGTTAAGGGATTTTTACTTCCGGTCGGAAGTTATCTCCCTTTTATCAAAATTTAGAGGACCTCCTTGTCTGCGATGGAACTCAAGAACGGCTTAAGCTAGAGTGCTGAAATTCTCAGTGATGATAGAAGACATGTTGCCATTTTGCACCTGGGTTTAGATATTTTCCGGTAGTGCCTAGTATGGAAGGTCGGTAGGGGTCGAAATTTAGGACACGAATCATGAGTGAATTTTTGGGTCATTTTGTATCATATCTTTTAAAGTATAATTATTTTGTTAAAACATACTGAACAATATTTGTGCAGAATGACAAGATCTTTAATATGATATCAAGAAAAAAGGGCTGACTTATCATATTAGGGGCCGAGAGGGGACAAAAGTCTTTGAACAATAACTCTTTAACGATCAATATTTTGTAATGCATTAATGAAGCAAAAATGTTTATCTCAACAATTTACAACTATATATTATGAAATTCACATCATATGTTATATAATTAGGGGCTATAAGGGGCCAGAATGCTAAATCTTTGACGCTTTATATCTCAAAAAGTGGGAAATATTTTGATAAGCAATATTGAACAAAAGATGTTCAAAATAATGTTCTAAACAATATGCAACCTTTCATTTTTTGCTTAACGTCCCCTATAAGGAGTTGAAGGGCCAGCCCCTAAATACCTCCTTTGCAAATATCTCAGAAACGAAAAAGAGTTTCTGAGTAGTTGTTGAACAAAAAGTCTTCAAAATCATGAGAGCTTTAAAGTGATATGAAGAAAAAGGGCTGGCCCCTCAAAATAGGAGCTGAGAGGGGCCGAAAGTCTTTGAACAAAAACTCTTTAACGATCGACATTTTGTAATGCATTACTGAAGCAAAAATGTTCATCTCAACAATTTACAACTATATGTTACATAATTAGGGACCATAAGGGGCCAGAATGCTAAATCTTTGACGCTTTATATCTCAAAAGTGGGACATATTTTGATAAGCAATATTGAACAAAAGATGTTCAAAATAATGTTCTAAACAATATGCAAACTTTCATTTTTTGCTAAACGTCCCCATTAAGGAGTTGAAGGGCCGGCCCCTAAATACCTCCTTTGCAAATATCTCAGAAACGAAAAAGAGTTTCCGAGTAGTTGTTGAACAAAAAGTCTTCAAAATCATGAGAGCTTTAAAGTGATATGAAGAAAAAGGGCTGGCCCCTCAAAATAGGAGCTGAGAGGGGCCGAAAGTCTTTGAACAATAACTCTTTAACGATCGACATTTTGTAATGCATTACTGAAGCAAAAATGTTCATCTCAACAATTTACAACTATATATTATGATATTCACATCATATGTTACATAATTAGGGGCCATAAGGGGCCAGAATGCTAAATCTTTGACGACTTAGATCTCAAAAGTGGGAAATATTTTGATAAGCAATATTGAACAAAAGTTATTGAAAATAATGTTCTAAACAATATGCAACCTTTTGATTTTTGCTAAAAGTCCCCATTAAGGAGTTGAAGGGCCGGCCCCTAAATATATCCTTCGGATATATCTCGGAAACGGAAAAGAATTTCTGAGTAGTTGTTGAACAAAAAGTGTTTAAAATCATGAGAGCTTTAAGGTAATATCAAGGAAAAGGGTCTGACCCATTAAATAAGGGGCTGAGAGGGGCCGAAAGTATACAATCAATAACTCTTTAATAATCAATATTTTGTAATATATTACTGAAGCGAAATAGTATATCTTCACACACTTTATCTAAATAACATGATGTTGATATCATAAATTACGCAGTAAGGGGTCTTTAGGGGGCCAGACTGCATAATCTTTGGCGCAATATATCTCGAAAAGGAAGAATATTTTGATAAACAGTATTGAACAAAAGACGATCAAAATAATATTCTGAACAATATGCACTCTTTCAATTATTGCTAGACGTCTCCATTTAGGACTTGAAGGGCCGGCCCTTAATATTTCTTTTGCATATATCCCGAAAACAAAAAAGAATTTCTGACTAGTTGCTGAACAAAAAGTGTTCAAAGTCATGAGAGCTTTAAGATGATATCAAGAAAAAGGGGCTGACCTCTCACATTAGGGGCCAAGAAGGGGCGAAAGTCTTTAATCTATAACCCTTTAATGATCAATATTTTGTTAAACATTATTAAAGCAAAATTGTTCGTCTTAATTTATTTATATCATTATATTTGAACAAAAATCTCAGTCAAATTTTTATCTCATCTTATCAAAAATCGGACGGAAGACCCACTCGTTGCTTGCAACGAGATCTCATCTAGTTATTATTCTTTTTTTTTCTTTACAATTTTTGTGCAGAAGATTTCTCGGAGTTGGCTCGATCGATTTACTTGAAAATTTCAGGGAAGATGTATCTTTGTCTGAACCTTATACGTTTTTTTCATTTTTTTGAAATTCACTTCCGGTCGAAAGTTATCGCCCTTTAATCAAAATTCAGAGGACCTCCTTGTCTGCAATGGAACTCAAAAAAGATTAAAGCTAGAGGGCTGAAATTTTCAGCGATGATAGAGGACATGTTGCCATTGATCACCTGGGTTTTCAAATCTTCCGGAAGTGCCTAGTATGGAAGCTCGGTAGGGGTCAAAATTTAGGACACGAATCATGAGTGAATTTTAGAGACATTTCTTACGATAACTTTTTAACTATGAGTATTTTGTTAAACCATATTGAACAGAAATTGTGTAGAATTACAAGATCTTTAATATGATATCAAAGAAAAAGGGCTGACTCATCACATTAGGGGCCGAGAGGGGCCGAAAGTCTTTAATCTATAAATCTTTAACGATCAATATTTTGTAATGCATTACTGAAGCAAAAATGTTTATCTCAACAATGTACGACTATATATTGTGATATTCACATCATATGTTACATAATTAGGGGCCATAAGGGGCCAGAATGCT